TATGGTATTTTTAATTGACGGTGAAGGAGTTAGGATTTGAACCTAAGTCTGTCAAGTTACTATGCTTTATACTATTTCTGTGTGATGCTGTATAATACCCAGTAAGTAGGAGGTTTGAATGTATTGTTGACCAGGAATGTGATTAAGAATAGTTTGTGATTTTTGCTCTAGAATACAGGGTCAGGATGGTAGCTCCTAGCCATGTGTGATTATTTAATTTATGGTAAATAAAATTGATACTCAGTTCCTCAATTCATTGGTGATACTTTGTTTTTAATAGTCATATACCACAGAAAATTTTACTGGACAATGCTTTTCTACAACATTGCTTCTCAGTTAGTAGCATGCATCAGAATTATCCAAGGATCTTATGGGTTAGGAGTAAAGCCTGTTCATACCAACTACATTGAAGTCTGAAAAGCCTGGGTGTTTATGAAGCATCATAGAAAATTCCCAGCTGTGGGACATCATGCTTGGGAGGGTAGAGGGACAGCACAGGAAAGGAAGACCCTAGATGAGATGGATTTATCCAGTAACTGGGGCATTGAGACTGGTGTGTCAAGAATTAGTGAGACTGGCTCAGGATAGGGCATGGTTTACAGCTGCTGTACATAGAGTCGCTATAGGTTTCAAGTGACTCCATGGCACATAACAACAGTCTTGGTTAATAGCTTCTGTTCTAGAATCTCCAGAGTAACCATGACAATGACTGTTTCTCATGTGTAAGGGGGACCTCAACTGTCAAGATACACTTAGAGCAGCCTGGCTCCTCTCTGTTCAGCCAGTATAGTTCCTTCACCTGGTGACCACATAAATAGCACTTGTAGTCTGAGATAAGATGAGGACAGGAGTGTAATGTGGGCATGTAAGCTTTCATCTTTTTATAGGTTAGAATAATGATACTTTGGGTCCATTTCCAACAGTATCTGAAGATGACTACATGATGTTAATTTTTTTTTTCTATAATTATATTTTATTATTTTTCATAAACATTTACAGAGATTTTGGGCTTCCACTCATTGTTGCACTATTCTCTCTACCCTCCTCCCAGTTTGTTCTTGTCCAAATGCCACAGTGCTTGTCAAAGCCAGTTCTGATCAATCTTCTTTGTCAGTGTATCCTTTGCCATTCCCTATCACTCCTCCCTGAGAGAGACTTCACCCTGAGTCATAAGGAAAAGGGCACGGCGTATTCTCTTAGCTACTTCCTGCTGAAAAGGGACGCTGTGGGTTTCAGGGTGAAGATCTTCTCTCACTACTCTAAAGGGCCCCTTTGGCAGTAGGAAACACATAGACTATTATGGAGATTGATTTTGGAATTCAGATGCACTCTTATTGATTGTGCTTGGCCATACATGTTCATATCTTTGAAGATGTATCATGGGGGTGTTGCAACCTAGAAGACACAAATTTGACTAACAAGTTATAAGTACATGAGTCCAAAAATTATGGAAAAGTAAAAGAAAAGATTCTTTCATTGTTTTACAAACCCTCCCCCAGGTCCCCTCCACCATGCAGCCCTCGCTCTAGTCTCCTGTGATGACAGAAATACCCAGTTACATGTCTCTTTTAAACGGTTCTCTCCCTCCTCTGTTTCAGTGCAGTACACATTATTGAACCCATCTTACTCAGTCTCTCCCCAACCCCAAGGACAGTCCCATTCTACAACAGTGGCATCATGTAATATTTGTCCTTTTGTGACTGGGATATTTCACTCAGCATAATGTTCTCCAGAGTCAACCATTTTGAATAATATTGCATGAGTTCCTTGTTTTTTAATGCAGCATAGTATTCCATTGTGCGAATATACCACAGCTTCTCTAGCCATTCGTTTGTTGATGGGCACTTAGGTTGTTTCCAACTCCTTGCTATTGTGAACAAAGCTGCAATAAACATGGGTGTGCATATATCTGCTTGGATGTCAGCTATGGTCTCTTCAGGGTATATTCCCAGTAGTGGAATTGCTGGGTCAAATGGTATCTCTATTTGCAACTTTTTGAGAAAGCGCCATACTGCTTTCCACAGGGGTTGCACCATTTTACACTCCCACCAACAGTGAATCAGGGTTCCAGTTTCTCCACAACCTCGCCAGCATTTGTTGCTTGCTGTTCTGTTAAATTTTGCTATTTTGACTGGGGTGAAATGATATCTCATAGTTGTTTTAATTTGCATCTCTCTTAGGGCTAGGGATTTTGAGCATTTCTTCATGTGTTTGTTAGCCATCTGAATGTCATCTTCGGTGAAGTGCCTGTTCATATCCTGTGCCCATTTTTCTATTGGATTATTTACCTTTATCTTGTTGTGGTGCTCAAGTATTTCATAAATTCTGGATATAAGTCCCTTATCTGATATGTTATTACCAAATACTTTTTCCCAGTCAGTGGCTTCCCTTTTTACCCTACTGGAGAAGTTTTTGGATGTGCATAGGGATTTGAGTCTTAGAAGGTACATGATGTTAATTTACTAGTCCAATGAGAAGGAGCCACGGTGATATACAGTTCATTATGTGTTGGGCTACTAGCCAAAGTTTTAATATTTTGAACCAATCAGCATATAGATTGAAAATATAGGAGGAAAATGGGCACTCTCCTGTAAATCCTGTAAAGATATACAGTCAGAGAAAGTCAATCAATGGAGGGGTCTCTATGAGTTAGAATTGACCTAACAACAATGGGTAGTCCACTAAGAGGCAAGGATAGTGAAACTGTCTCTTCCTGGCCACATGTTAAAAGTAGAGCTGAGTCCCTGGAGAAAGACATTTATTGAAATAGAGTCATCAAAAAAGAGGAATAATGGCAACAAAATGATTGACACGTGCTGCAACAATGTAAAGATGGTGTCTGCAGTGTTTTATTTGTTGAAAACAGAAGACAGAATTGCTGTGAGTTGGAACTGGCTGGATTTACCAAATAATAACAGTGTAACTTGAATTTAAAGGCATAAATTGTACCCAGACAATCCCTATAGCTCCAAAATGGTTTGAAAATACTATTAGAGCTCTTGTGAATTATTAGAACAATGAACCCTGTTAGCACAGTGTGTAAGGTATCAGTCCTGGAAGGTTGGCGGTTCAGATCTACCAATTACTCCTCAGAAGAAAGATAGTTTTTGTAAGGATCAATAGCCTTAGAAACAAGTTGAGGCTTCTCTGAATTGGAGTAAACTCAGCAAAAGTGGAGATTTTGGGTTGTGCAGAGGCAGGACTTGGGCAAGAATAGTTTGTTAGAATCAGCAGTTTAATAGCATTGGCATGTGGTAATGATTTAGGTTATGGTTTTACTGGGATTCACTCTAGAAACTTGAGGAGAGTACTTAACATTATTCCTATTACTTTTTAACCTAAAATCACAGCTGTAGCCTAAAGGAATATTTCTCTGGCTTTTTTCTCTTCATGTTTAGGAGAACAGATTCTGTAGCTTACTTTCTTATACCTTTTTTTCAGTGATAGATAAAAGACTTTGGAATTTTGGGTATTATACATCTTAAATTATAAGATAATTTATTCATTTGAGTAACATAGAATAACATCACTAAAAGGGACCCTAGGAATAATCTAGACAAATGGTTCTTTTTTTTAAAAAAATAATAAAATTTTTCTTTTAAACTGTTTTACTTATAAGGTTCGTACACTAGACCAGTGGTTCTTAGAGTGTGGTCCCTGGATCAGTAGCATCCTGGGATTTGGGAACCTCTTAGATCCACTCTAAATCTATTGAGTTAGGAATTCTGGTAGTAAGACCTAACAGTCTTTTTACCTAAACCATCTAGATAATTCTGATGCGTGCTAAGTTTAAGAACCACTTTTTATTTGAAATTTAAATGAAATTGGGACCCACAATATCTCCCTCTTCTCCCTTAAAGTAGGATTCCATTTTCAAGTTTTCTATCAGACATAATCCTATTCTCCAGTAACTCATAGTGACTCTAAGATCAACAGATCTGAACCCAGACCTGTGTTGTGCCATCCTCATCATCTCTAATAGACCTGAGCTTATTGTTAACAGTCACTGTGCAGTTCTTGTTGAGGGTCTTCCTGTCTTTTACTGACCCTCCACTTTACCAAGCATTAGGTCTTTTTTCCAAGGACTGGCTCAACGTGCTCAAAGTAGGTGAGACAAAAGTTGCTTAGAAAAACCTTTTTACTCCCAAACGTAGTAAGTGTGAATCTGTAACAGGGAAAAGTTACTGAGCTTCTGTGCTATGACCCTCAAATAGGACAAAAACATGCAAAAAAAATGAGTGCGGTAATTCAGTGTGTTGCCTCTTAAACAGTTTGGACAAATGTTATATTTCAGATAACCGTAAGTTAACTTTGAGCCTTCATTATTGGTGCTAAGCTTTCTCTTTATACCTTCTTGTTCTTTAAGAGACAGAAGTTCTCTATTCTTAAAGCTCCAAACTCTTAAATATTAGAAAAGATTAATTTTTAGTTGATTTACACAAAGCTCTGAATTCCATAGTTACAACTTCTTCAACAACGGTAACTTAGCTACTTTGCTTGTTTGGATGGAAGAATAGTTTTAACTGATTTAGCCATAGTGCATACAGGTTGCAGATGAACAAGGAAAACGGTCCACCATTGGAAAAAGAGAAATATCTAGACACTGTTGTATTTATATTCCTAACCATAGCATTGAAGATTCAGTTTCAGTGTTTCTGAACAAGGTTATAGCAGCAACTGAAGGCCTTTGTTTTCGTTTTCTGTACTATAGAATTAATGTCTTAGTTGTTGCGCACTTACCTTATCCTTTTAGATCACAAGTATTAGGACATACTAGCATAGTTCTTTTTATCTTACAAGATACTTTGACAAGCAAGTGGTATTTTCATTTCTAAAATTAAAGTTTGAAAGAAAAGTTAAGTGACTTGTTCAAGGACTTCTATGTCTATACTATTACTCATTCATTCTAACTACTAAAGTCTGGATGCTTGGGCTGTGAGTTCATATGGCCAGAAACCATTTAAATGCTTCAGGTTAATGAAATGCTCTTTATTTTGTAGCCGTCCAGTCCAATGGATCAGATGGGCAAGATGAGACCTCAGCCATATGGCGGGACTAATCCATACTCGCAGCAACAACAGGGACCTCCAACAGGACCGCAACAAGGACATGGGTACCCAGGGCAGCCATATGGGTCTCAGACCCCACAGCGGTACCCGATGACCATGCAGGGCCGAACACAGAGTACCATGGGCGGCCTCTCTTATGCACAGCAGGTAGTTGGTGACTCTGATTACCTTAACTCTTGTTGATGTCCAGGAGCTAGTCTGTGAGCTATAGACTTAGAACATTTTTAGTTTCCAAACCTCTGAACAAGTGCCTAAGCCAGTGGGCTCATTTAGTTGCAGTGTGCTACTAGTAAGGTCAAGATTGTGAACTCCACATCCCAAGTGCTTCAAGGAAAACGGCTTTCTGGCCACAGGTTGAACATACCTTTCTTATGACCTGGCTGGCTTACTTGTATATATTGAGTGGTGATTTCTGAAGAAAATGGCATGAACGAAAGTTCCTTTCTTTACAAGTCCTCAAACTTTTCAATATTATGAAATTGTCAGTTAACATGTACTAAGCTCTAAATTCCACTGAGTATCTGTCTATTGCTATTACCGAGACAACCACTAGTAATACCGTGTGTTCTGGTAACGGATATACCAGTTGACGTGTTCAGAATGAATATCTTGAAAGAAAATATAGAAAGGTTAAACAGTAAAGATGCTAACAAGATTACAAATATTAAGTATCTCCTTTTCTCCCAACTATACCTTTTTAAAAAAAATAACTATGTATGGTAAATACATTTGTAACATCATTTACCATTACAATATTCACATGTACAGTTCACTGACATTATGTTCATTATTATTGTTCAACCATCACTCTTACTTATTTTTAAATTCTGTCCTTAGGCTTAAGTTCAGTGTCCCCTGAGTAGAGTTCTTCTTTCCCCTTCCCTTAAGCCTATCCCTAGTTAATTTGAATAAACATAAATTTATTTATGCCTACCTGGTGGCCTAGTGTCAAGAAGCTGCGCTGCAATCCCTAAGGCACATGTTTCAAATCCACCAGCTGCCCTGTGGGAGAAGGATGGGCAGTCTCCTCCCATGTAATTAACTGCCTCTGCAAACCTGTGAGAGTCAGCTATGGGTTGGTTCTGACTCTATGCTATACAACAGTTACTTATATATATATATTCCCTGTAAGTGCAGTCATTCATTAACTTGGTCTTTTGTGATTGACTGACTACATTCAGCATAACATTTTTAAGATTTTTCCATGTTGTAGCTTGTATCAGGCTTCACTTAACCATTATCATTTAATTGTTTGTTATGTTGTTTTGTTTTGCCAGCATTTTCTATCATTTATATTTGAATCATACTCATAGTGAATGATGAGGAACAGAATATGCATCCTACCTTTTAAAACTCTAAAGCAAAATACAACCTTAAATTAAAAAAAATAGATATAATCTCTTCCTCTCTCCCTGGGAGAAAGTGGAAGATGATGTTCATTTTTTACCTCCTATGAAACCAAGTATGTCCTTAGTGCCTAGAATATATTGCCTACTACAGAGTAACCCAGTGCCCAGACATAATTTTGAATGAAGACTATAGAGGCAACCAAGGTGGCCAGTGACTTGTGTATTGTCTAGAGTGCTTAGATTTTGAAAACATTGGGTTTTCAGATGACTGGGCCAGGCGGTTACTATATGTTGTGATTAGAATACTAGTGCTTGGGAGAGAGGATGTCTAGTCTATGACTATGGTAACAGAAAGGAATAGATTTAGTGGGGGAAACAGCTACACTTGAACTCATAAATTGTCCAGATACTGTATGAATTATCACTGAGTGAATGCTGTATACTTCTAAATAAACCAACTTGCCCTGGAAACTAAAGGGTTATGGTTTGCATACACTAGTTGCTCCAACAGAAAAAGATGGGCAGTCTCCTCCATTGTGATTTACTGCCTCTAAAAACCTGTTAGAGGGTCAGCTATGAGCCAATTCCAACTTGATGGCATATAACTGCAACCTATATTGACCATCCTTCCTAGCTTAGTTTAGATGGGGATAGTAGAAAAAACCTGGACCCTGTGAGAGTGTAAAGCTTGGCTTGCCTGATCTAAAAAGCCATTCTTTGGTCATATCTTCTAACAAGAATACCTTACCGTTCTTCATCCAGAAGGGCAAATGCTAAAAGTATCCTTTCCTTTCCTACAGATTCCTCCTTATGGACAACAAGGCCCCAGTGGGTATGGTCAGCAGGGCCAGACTCCATATTACAACCAGCAAAATCCTCACCCCCAGCAGCAGCAGCCACCCTACTCCCAGCAGCCACCATCCCAGACCACTCATGCCCAGCCTTCTTATCAGCAGCAGCCGCAGTCTCAGCCACCACAGCTCTCGTCTTCTCAGCCTCCATACTCCCAACAGCCATCCCAGCCTCCACATCAGCAGTCCCCAACCCCATACCCCTCCCAGCAGTCCACTACACAACAGCATCCCCAGAGCCAGCCACCGTACTCCCAGCAACAGGCACAGTCTCCCTACCAGCAGCAGCAACCTCAGCAGCCAGCATCCTCGACGCTCTCGCAGCAGGCTGCATACCCTCAGTCCCAGTCTCAGCAGTCACAGCAAACTGCCTATTCCCAGCAGCGCTTCCCTCCACCACAGGTAAGGTACCCCTGCCTCTTACTGTTCCATCATATGACCACAGACAACCCTGGGAGTTGCTAACAGAAGAACATTGACATACAGATTCTCTGTAGTGCACCTAAAAACCTTTTAAACTCTTGGTAAACTTGCAGCCTGGGTTGATTAGTAAAGGCATAATCATCCTAATTTCTTACCTTCTGACTGTTCTTACTGATGAGGAACTTGGACATTGGAATGTTTCATAGCTAAGAAATTAAAGATAAATGGAGATTTTTTTTTTTAGAAAACCTGTTTATCGAAACAAATATCCAAGAAAATACGGACAAAACAATCACAGTACATTCATTTCCACTGTAACTCTTTATAGTTATTATATAATTTAGTATAATCTTCCATCAGACTCACATTAAATTTTTTAGAATAGTCTCTGTGGTAGCAGATCTTTGTCTTTTTTGAGGGTAGATTTGATTTTTAGAAATAGATAAAATTCACTTGGCATCATGGCTGGTGAAAAAGTTAGATGATGAAGTCTAAAAATAGCAATTTTGCTTTATTCTGTAAAGAGCAAAAAGAAATGTCTGGATGACAAGTCCACTAAAGGTATGGTGCATTACTAAAATAAGTATCTTGTTCTAAGATGATGTCTTTAAAGGAAATACACTTATTTCAGTGAGAAATTCTTGGGTGGATTGTTTTTGTTTTAAATTAACTGTTGTCATTCATCAATAGAGAACATCTTATAAGTTACTCATAGTTTGGTATTTAACGCCAAGAAGTTACTGTAATCTATGTGGCAAAAAATGAGCTACCATACCATCAGAAGGAAGAGTTATTCTAGTCTTAAAAGCCAACAAGTTGAATTTTCCTGTCTTTACATACTATAGTTTACAAGGTCTATCACATTTAGCTTCTGCTGTGTGACAGAGCCCTGTAGCTTATTCACCGGGAGGTAATCAGGCCTGGTTTATAAAAACTAAGCCTTTCATAGTTTTATTTTTCTTGTTTTAGGAGTTATCTCAAGATTCATTTGGGTCTCAGGCATCCTCAGCCCCCTCAATGACCTCCAGTAAGGGAGGACAAGAAGATATGAACTTGAGCCTTCAGTCAAGACCCTCAAGCTTACCTGTGAGTATTCCTGCTGAAGAAAACTAAGAGAACCAGTGTCTAGTTGGGTTATTGTGGTGATACTGAGCTGAATAGCAATGAGCTATTGTTGAATTCAGATTCAAAATTCTATACAAGGAAGAAAGGTATATATATGTTTTCTAGCCTTTTATTCATAGTCTGACCCTTGTAAAATAATTTGTTCTGGCTTCCTATGAGGGAATAGATTTGATCTTGATATAGAGTTTATTTTTTTGTTAATCTAGAGTTTTAAGCATGGATCCATGTGAAGGGGCAGGAAGGAGTGGTATATGGGAAAGAAACAGTGCCTGCTCTCCATCATTTTATGGCCTTATCTTGTAACCTTAATTTTTAAATTTTTGCCTTAACATCTAACGAGAAGGGGGGACTTGGGCTGCATTCAGCTTTGCAATACTGGTCATGGGTAGACAATAAGTGGCTTTTCTGGTGGTGGGTTTTTGTGAATAGCTGATTATATATATATATAATACAGTGCTTGACGCCCAGGTGCTTGATTTGGTGTTTGTAAGAATGGTGTTCTCGTACTCTGGTGATTAACAACTTGGACTGTGGAACCAAAGTTCTTGGGTCGACTTTGCCACTTCCTCTGTAACATTGGGCAAGTCACTTCACCTCTCTGTTCTTAGTTTTCACATTTGTAAAGTAGACTTGTTAATATCCACTTAATGGAGTAGTTAACCTTAAATACTTTAATAGAGAATGCTGACACATTGCAGTCAAGTTGGCTCAAACTCCTAGCAACCCTCCCTTGAATTTCTGAGGCCCTAAATTGTAAGAGGAGTAGATTGTCCATCTTTCTCCCTTGGTACATGGCCTCTGGGTTAGCAGCGCATCTCACCATGGACTATGCCACCACAGCTTTCTTGAGACATTGCAGGCACTGTATAGTATCATCCCTTTCACGGAGGACATGGAGATGGCATTTGACACTTGAAAGACCTTAAACACGCTTCAGTCATAGGCTGGTTCTGGGAGCATTTATCCCAGAGTGTCAGCTCTGCCACTACCTCTGGACAGCTCCCTCTCTGGTTGGCATAGGAATAATTTAGGCAGCCCTGAAATAAAATCTAATTAATATAACAAGTACCAAATTCTTCCTTATACAACCTGCTTCGCTTAGGATATGGAAATTCAACCTCATATATACAGATCAGGATCTTAAAGTCTTGCCTCTACTTGGACTTGAAGTGTAGCTCTTCAGTTATTTCTGACTGAAGATAATTCCTAAATCTAGGAGTAGGCAGAAGGTAAGACCTCCATCCCTGTTTCTTCCCTTGAAGCTCTCTGCAAAATAACCTTGGGCAAAGTATACTGGGTCTCAGCACCTGCTCTCAGCTTCCCAGGCCAGGACAAATAGCGAGCCGAGACTTCTGAGATTGTGTTGACTGTGTTGAGTTGACACACTCTTAGCTGAGAAATAGTGGGTAGGGAGTGTCTGAATAAAGCAGTCAGTCATTGTTCCCATCTCATTAATGTCTGTTGCAATCTTTTTCTGCATTCTCAACTTTACCAGAATATGCTTTTTTAACCTAATTCAATCAGAAATGTGAAACCACTCCCTCATCATCTATGGTCTGTGGCTAAATCTGGGTGAGGTGCTGCTGTGGCAAGAACCCAAATCAGTTGACTTTGCCATGCTCTAAATTACTTCTTTTGAAAAAGTTTCTGCTACTCCTGATAACCTTTCACTAGAACTGCATTATTGTGTCAGGCCTGAGAAAGGTTGTATCCAAAACACCCTTTGTCTTCCAAGGCCTGAGGGTGTAAACTTTGTACAACTGAATCCAAGAGCTTCTGATAATGACCTACTGAAGTACTGGTTTTGGCAGTCTCTTGGGCCCAGGGGAGGGTTCTTCCTTGGAAGCCTATCAAGGAACATTTCTAAGTTTAAGTTTCTACTATAGGTTCATCCAAATGGATCACATGGAACGTAAGCTGGCTAGGTTGTTGCCATCTTGTTGGTTGAGTAGTTTTTTGGATGGTGTTTTGTTTTAGTGTGTTTCCCCTCCCCTCGCATTAAGAAACAAAATGTAGTTAATTCTTTGGCATTTTGTTTTGATGCCAGGTTTGTCTAACCAGGGTTAGAAAAACTCAGTGCCTGAAGGAATGAGATGTCAAGATTTCCTATAAGAGACTCTTCTTTCCTTCTTTCTTTTAGAAAAAACCAAAACAAACCAAAAAACCCACACAAAACAAACAAAAACCACACACACACACAAACCCCTCAAAGTCATTGCCATCAAGTCAGAATTGGCTCACCACTGTCCCACGAGTGGTTTTCAGAGACCGTAAATTGCACTGGAGATTGCCCATATATCACCAGCAGAGCTACTGAGAGGTATGGGCTTGGTGTTAGCAGTGCAACCACCCTAGGACTGCACAGTCAGAGCTTTCTTTAGCAAATCCCTACATTAGATAGCATAATGTGTTCCATATTGGGCTGCTGATCAAGAAGTACCTTTCCACCAGGATAAAGTTGACACAACCTGCTCCAATTAAGATTTTGTTGTTAGGTGCCAACAAGTAAACTATAACTTAGCTGAAACCTTGTCTTGTCCTGCACCATCCTCATGGTGCCATGCTCACTAAAGTTCATTGTATAGCACCTATGTCAGTCCATCTTGTTGAGGATTTTTTTAATTTCTTGATTGCTGCTTCCGTGGGTCTTGATTGTGTATCCAAGTAAAAGGAAATCTTTTACAACATCAGTCTTCTCTATATCCTTCAGAAACTCAATGGAGACTCATTCTGAATTGGAATAAACTAGATAGCCCTGGGTTGGGTTGGTTTGCGTTAGGTTGGATTGGGTTTGGTTTAGGTTTTCTGTGCCTTTCTTCACAAGAAAAATTGTGGGGGTGCCTGCTTACATTTAGTACCAAAGCAAATGCGGGGCTTACTAGAGCCTTTCCGGTTTCCATGTAACTTCACTTACTTGCTTTAGTTGCTTGGCCTTAGAGGCTTTATGGTTGTGATTCTTAATGTAATGACTCAGTATGGGTTTTGATCTAGGCTATTTGAAAACCTGGGTTTTGAGGTTTCCTTCTCCCTACCCCCCTACCCCATTGTCAATACTGTTGATTCTGCATGAGTCAGAAGTATATTGACAGCAAGTTTTGTGGGGTTTTTTTTCTTTTTTTAATTTTATTTTATTTTGTATGTGTGTGCCGTTAAATTGGATCTGACTGGTACAGGAGGATATTGTCCCTCCTTCTCCAGCAGAATATCTGGTGGATTCAAACTGAATGCCTCTGGGATTACAGTGCAGCTTCTTGCCACTAGGCCACCAGAGCTTCCGACAGCAAGTTTTTTAAAGATGCTAAATATTGTCTTGATTGTGATATTTTCATACTTTAAAAGACTCAAGGGTTTTTTTTATTACTCTTAGAATAAAGTCCAAAATCCTTCATATTATCTAGAAGTATCAGAAACAAAGATTGTGACACTCTTCCACGTTTCTGATTCAGTGGGTCTGAAATGAAGCCTGAACATTTATATTTCTAACTGGTTTCATCAGATCCGGTTTTAGTAAATTCTTTTGTTGTCTTTACTGACCTAAAGCAAGGTTTATGTTACAGTGCAAAGCAAAACAAAAATTCTTCACTATTTAAGACATACAAAAAGGGCCTATAAAGAAGAATTCATTATTAGAATGCCCATTTCAAAACTCTGCTGACACTTTTTAAAGTGCCTTATATGAACCTCTGAGTTCATACCCTTCCCTTTCCCCACAATAACCAGAGAAACACCATCCTCATTTGAGGTTTCTTTGCTACTTCTTTCCAGAATCTCTTTACTAATACCTCTGCTTTACTGATTATCTTACTTGGTCCTCTTCCTTACCCAAGGAGCCCTGTGGTAGAGTGGTTTAAGTGTTGAACCACCAACCAAAAGATCAGCAGTTTGAATCCACCAATTGCTCTACAAAAGAAAATGAGGCAGTCTCCTGTTTAGATTTAAAGCCTCAGAAACTCTGCACGGCAGTTCTGCTGTCCTGTAAGTTTTACATGGGTTTGGAATCAACTTGACAGCAATGGGATTGTTGACCTTTATGTCCAAACAATTATCCAGTAATACTCAAAGCCATTGTCAAGGACTGCAGCCTCCAGTATGGATTGAGGCTCAATGTCAAGAAGACAAAGATTCTCACCACTGGACCAATTGGCAGCATCAGGAATGGATGGTGAAGAGATTGAGATTGTACACAGCTTTAGCTTGCTTGGCTCCACAGTCAACAGTCTTGGCACCAGCAGTCAGGAAATTAAAAGGCACATTGCCATGGGAAAGTCTGCTGTTAGGAACCTCTCCAAAATACTGAAGAGCAATGGTGTCTCTCTGGAGACTAAGGTGCGTCTGATACAGGCCATGGTCTTCGCAATCACTTGTTATGCATCAGAGAGTTGGACAATGACCAGGGAGGATAGGAGGAGAATTGATGCCTTTGAGCTGTGGTGCTGGAGAAGAGTATTGAGAATACCATGGACTGCTAGGAAAACAAACAGGTTTGTCCTGGAAAGGGTTAAACCGGGTGTCTCCTTGGAGGCAAGGATTCTGAGGCTCCGTCTAACATACTTAGGACATGTGAGGAGAAACCGGTCCTTGGAGAAGGACATCATGCTTGGGAGGGTGGAGGGACAGCGCAGGAGAGGAAGGCCCTCTATGAGGTGGATTGATTCAGTGACTGGGATAATTGAGATGGGAGTGTCAGAGACAGTGCGATTGGCACAGGACAGAGCAGAGTTTAGGGCTGTTGTACATAGGGTCGCTATGAGTCGCAAGCGACTGGACGGCACATAACAACAACTACTCAAAACCATTGGTTCTTGACCATGGCTACATGTTAGAATTAACGTGAAGACAGATTGGTCTTTGACAAGCAACGCACTAGGGCTTGGGTATTGGTATTGTGAGAAACTATGCCTAGTAATTCTGCTTTATAGCCTGAGTCAAAATGTGTTACTCCAGACTGTGTTCAGTGTCAT